CGCGACACAGAATTTATCGGCTGTTTATATTAATAATTGAGAGGGAACAACGGTGTGTGCGGGGGTTATTTTTTTTTAACGGTGCCGTCGGTTTTTGCGTAATTTTTTTCATTTCAACCCGTGTTTTTCAGGTGCCCGACATCTAAATGACCTAAATATAAACAAAATAAAAATGTTACATCGATCCGGTAACGGTTTTTTTATATGCATTTTTATCGAGAGCTTAATGAATTGAAATTTAAATCGGCCCCGAACGGTTCGTTCGCCCCGATTTTACTTTTATTCGCCGAACTATGTCTGGTCGGCAATGACATTGAAATTAATATTTAGATTTTTTTGTTTAAATTTTTTTCCGAAAACAAATTTGACCTAGTTTTTTTCTGCCATGAATAAAATAGACAAAATATTAAAAAAAAAAACAAAAACAACTTTTACTATTTAGCATTGTTTAGATATAAAATTTTCAGTTTATTCTGTTGGAATTTAAATGATTCTCGGTTAACAGTTTATTTATAAAATTCAGTAATGGATAAAACCTCTAGTTATTAGAGAGAATTGTTCATGTTTATGATCAATAATATAATATTGATATTTACTAATTAACCACTGATGTTTTAAATATTGTCTGTAGTTGAAATTATTGAAAGCAACCAATAAAATAACGAAATGTAAATAATTGTAATGAATGATGAATTCAAACACCCTTCTCTTTCTATCTTTTCCTCATTTTTCCTCATTTTCCCTTATTTATTCTCACTGTTACCATTACGTTTCGTTTAACTTAGATTAAGTTTCATGCCACTCCCAGAGTACTACTTTCACCCCAATTACGTCGTCATATATTCACCAAATCGAACAAAAAATAAAAAAGGACTTCATCATTTTGTCCATTATCCGTAATTCGAAGAGAGTCGAAGATAATTAAATTTCTAATTAATCAATTTAAATCTAGATCGGAAGGTGGCCACGTGGGAGAGGCTCGTGGTGGTTCAATTTCAAACAGAATAATGAATTTTTATCCAGAATTGCCCAATTGCTCACCGTCAATGCCCCCGAAGACTCATTCACATTAACAATGTGTCCATACAGAAAGTTAATAGGTCCGTCGCCGCGGTACGAGGATCGGGGATGATGTTCGAAGCTTTCAACTTCGTGTATATCGACCCCACTCTGTGGTTTTCAACGTCGATATTGTCTCGTAAAGATCAAGTTGAATCAAGGAATAATATTGTACAAAATATACGTCAAAAAAAAATAGTTAAACAAGAATGTAATGACTTAGTTAAAAATTGATTGAATTGGTATTTTAGTACCAATTCTACTCTCAGTTTTACTGCACTTCTCCATTTTGCTGCTTTTTCTGGTTGATTTGTGGAGTAAACTTTGCATCCATTAAATTCTTCATCCAATGCTTTATACCTTTCCATATCTTTCCAAAATGTTGGAAGAAATCTTTGGTAACACCTTTGCCAAAGAATAAAAATCCTATGACATTTTCGAACCTGCGGCCAATTAGTGTTTTACCTGTTTCGTCTAAAGTATTGGAAAAAATTATGAATGATCAAATTCGGGAATTTGTCGATAAACTTAATATCTTGCCTAGGACACAGTCTGAATTTCGTGCTAACTACAGTTGCGATACAGCAATAATGCATATAGTTGATGACATATTGTTTGTGGCGGATCAAAATAGGCTTCCTGGATTAGTTCTGCTAGACGACAGTGGGGCCTTTGATACTGTCAATCATAGAATGTTATCAGCTATCTTATCCTTTGGCAGAATCCATAGCAGAATCATTCTGTTCAATGATTCTGCTGTTCTTTGCTGTTGCTGTAGTCTTGCTACTTTTCTATAGGTTTCAGAATTGACACATTTAAGAATTTTCTTGCTTGCAAGTGTTTTAGATTGACACTTTTATGAGCGTTCTATCAGGTGTAGTGTTCTTCTTGCGTTTCTTACTCTTATGTTTAACTGTACTCTACACTATTTCTCTGGAAAGTTCTTCTGTAGTATTCCTATCGGAGTACCGGAGATGTTGCTCTTGTTATTCGATCTTGATAACTAACTCTAACTTAATGCACGTCCATTGTTGTTTCATTGTTTTGCATTTGTAGGCCTGCATTTTTAAGTTGATTAATCTCATCATTGACTTCTTGTAGCTGAGAGCATAAGTACAACTATTATTCTCTCTGAGTTCGCTAAGAGTTTCATATCGGGTCATATCAAGTCCGCACTTCTCTATCAGCTATTGTTTATAGATTTTTTCGCAAAATACATTTTTTTTCATTTTGTAAAGTAATTTTGTCTTTTGTAATTTAGAGACAAAGTTAGAGCGCTATAATCAAATAGTTTCAGAGGTATATCGTTAAAGTTCAAGTTCTGAACGCCACGCTTGTTTGCGATCATCAAAGGATTCCTTAAGCTTTCCCGAGTCACTTGGTGCAACGAACTTGCCGTTAACGATGAAAAATGCACTTCACCCCCGTTTTAAAATCGAGCTAAAGCTATGCCATTGGAGCTTAAAACGAATGAAACTGTAAAATACGGATATCGTCTGTGTTCAAGTTTCCATAACCAATTTGCAACTGGACACCTTTACCTAGGTATATGTTACAACATCGATTTTGATAATTTTAATAAATCTATTTTCATTGCGATTACTACATCGTTTTTTTTATCGTTTAAGAACGTTGGAAGTGGTGTGAGGTTAGTTCCAAATAACGTCCGGCTTTTTAGGAATTTCCGCCGAACTATAATGAAGTTTTTAATGGGTAAAGTTCGGTAACGAGGCTCTCGGTGGTGGTAGTCGACGAGAGGTCCGCGGGCGGACGCCAACACCGGAGGCGTCTCGACGGGGTAATACCTTACGTGCTGTATCCGTTAAGTAAAGTTATAATGAAATTTTTCGTAGAACATGGTAAAAACCCTCCCGTTCTCAACGTAGAGGACGTCCTCCGAAGAGGCGGAGGAAGAGGAGGTGGTGGCGGTTCGGACCTGCGGTGCGGCCCGGAGGTCATCCATCAAGGCGCCCCTTCGGGTTCCTCCCGGTATTCCCCGTCTACCAGGTTTCCCTCGTTTTCCCCGTTTGCCCTTTCTCTACGTGGAACCGTTCTGGATACGACAAAACCACCATTCCGCCCCTTTCAAACCCCTTTTGGACCCCCCGTTCAAAGTCCCCCTCTCGGAGGGCCGCTAATACTCTTGCCACCCTTCTCCACCTCTCTGATATCCCCCCAACCTTGATGGGTTCAGACAAATAAGATAGGTACATCAAACATTCCCAAAAACCGTATTAGGCTATATAATAAATGTAATTCATGATGAAAAAGTAGATTTCTTGTACAAAAACTTATGATTGGTAAATGTATTGAAAGTGGGGAATTAAAATTCGTGAAATCGGAGGGATGGATGGCAGCGGCGTCAGTGGTGGTGGCGAGCGGCAGAACGCAATTAATCATCCCGGTTGATGTTTGCCCGTTGCATCAAAACGACATCAATTTTTATAAAATCCATTCGCCCGAGTGTACCGGTCATTACGTCGGCAAATATGTCTCACGGTCGCCTTCGTTGGTGTCCGACCCTCCTCTAAGTGGGGACCACTTCGGCCCTCACGGCGGCGACACGGGTAAACAAAATGTCGATTATGACCCACGTCCGACGACCGTTCCATTGGTCAGCAATGTTTGCCAGGACGCTTATATTTTCCGCCAGGCCATAATGAAGTTGTATCGATTGTGTTTTTAAACCATATCTCGCATTTTCAGGCCAAGAATTTTTTATTTAAGTGTTAAAATTCATTAATAATGATTCGTTTTTATTAATTCAGTTTGATTTGTGAACAACCATTTTTCTTTTCAATACAATTTTTTTAACAATAATTTTTATGGATGATCTAAATGTTATATTGTGCAATTTTTGAAATACACAATGCTTTTTCAAGTATCATATACACACATAGAGCAATGTGTATCGCTTGGTTGTACACGCCGACAAATATGGCCATTGCATTGGCAAGTTTTATTTTTTTTGCCCTCAAAAAAGAACTACTAATGGAAATTTTATGTACGTAAACAATAGATCGCGTGTACGTAGAAACAATATGCGACTTTTTACGCGCAGATCCAGTTTGGAAAAACCATTATATGCTATGTTTGTTCGTGAAATAATCTCAATGTTTAAACACCACAAATTTTGTTACAATAAAAATTACCATCTCAATACAGAAACTATATAGTGAACATATTGTAATAGTTAGCGAATCTATCTTAATTATTAATTAGTGTGGTGGGGTGAAACATACCCAAGTGCACAGTATGTATCGAACACACGTATTAATCAGGCACATAATTCGTTTTAGAAGTTATGTTTTAAGCTTACAATTTCTTTTCTGTATTAAATCTATATAAATTAAACTATTTGCGTCATAAGTTCAGATACTTGCGGAACAACTTTCACTAGAATTAGAACTAACACTATAGCCAGAACTACAAACATTCGAGTTTAGCCGTGCATTTTTTAAAACGGCTAAACCCGACAGTTTCTAGTTCTAGGTTTAGTGTTAGTTCTAGTTTTGCACTAGAATCATGTGGGTTTAGCCGCATGTCTCTAAAGGCGGCTAAACCCAAATGATTCTAGTTCTAGGTATAGTGTTAGTTCTAGTTTTATACTTGCACTGTCACTAGAACTAACATTAGACCTAGAACTAGAAACATTCGGGATTAGCCGTTCGTTTCATAAGACGGCTAAAGCCGAATGATTCTAGTTCTTGGTTTAGTGTTACTTCTACTTTTAGTTCAATAAAAATATACAACAATCTAATCCTGATTAACAAGCAAAAACTAGAAAGTTCCGGTTCAAGTGCATCTGAAGACAATATTCTTGATCTTTAAGAAATATAACATCTAATCATTGTAAAAGATTAAGCTTTAAGATGAAAGTATATTTAAATCATAACTATATTTTTTATTTATTTAAAAATCTTTTTTTTTCTGACATTGTCATAAATGACACAAATAATATAACTTTCCTAAAGAAAAGGTTTGGTTTGTTTCTTTAGTTTATGGATCTTAAAAGAAATTGTTTTAAAAATGTACCCATGTCGAATTTTAACACGAGGAACCCAATTTATCAATATATTTCAAAAGAAAAATTATTCATCAGAAGCGGAAATTAAAACATCCCCGTATAAAGTTCATAAATTACCATCAGAACCGTCACAAACTTCAAAAATTGCCAAAGAAGAAGCGTTACAAATGTATGAATACATGGTCGCAATACGTCGAATGGAAAACTTGTTGGCTCAGCTTTATACTAAAAAATTAATTCGTGGATTTTGTCATTTATATGATGGTCAAGAAGCTGTTTGTGTTGGAATTAAATCAATGATGAGTGATAAAGATGATATAATATCGTCGTATAGAGCTCATGGTTGGAATTTGGTGATGGGAAATTCAATGCATGGTGTTATAGCCGAACTAATCGGAAAAGCTACGGGGGTTTCGCAAGGAAAAGGTGGTTCGATGCATACATATGGGAAAAATTTTTATGGTGGAAATGGAATTGTTGGTGCTCACGTTCCTTTAGGAACTGGAATGGCTTTACAACATAAATATAATAACACAGGTGGTATATCTGTGATTTGTTTCGGAGATGGTGCTGCTAATCAAGGACAAGTTTTCGAAGCTTATAACATGGCTAAATTGTGGAACTTACCGGCTTATTATGTCGTTGAGAATAATCTTTACGGTATGGGAACAAGTTCGAAAAGATCATCTGCGAATCCAGACTATTATACAAGAGGTAATTTCATTACGAATAAACGATGTTAATAAACTCCTAATTAGAAGCAGTAGGCAACAGTGCAAGTGTAACAAAAGGGAATACCCACCATTTCGATCTAGAACCCATTTCCGCAGACCGACTACGTACAGACTCAAAATTACAATTTGTTGCGGTTACGGAGGGTATGCAGTGTTCCATAAACCACAGTTTCAATTTTGCGTTGAAGATGACATCGCCGAATGAGCTCTCTAACTGAATAGCACGTTTCGTCTGTTGAATCGTTTCTCTAACAAACTCGTCCAATATTTTCTTTTTCAATTTTCATTCTTTCATTTTTAAATTTTCGGTTTTTTTAACATTTTCACAAAACCAAGATTTTTTTTAGGTGATTATATCCCTGGTGTTCAAGCAGATGGTATGGATTTTTTTTCGATACGTGAAGCTACGCGGTTTTGTAAGGAATATATTTTGAGCGGAAAAGGCCCGATAATTCTTGAAGCAGTAACGTATCGTTATCATGGACATTCTATGTCAGATCCAGGTACGAGTTATCGATCACGAGATGAAATTAAACAAAAACGTGAGTCATCTGATCCAATAATGCAGTTTAAGAAAAAGGTTACTGCGGCAAATGTTTGCAACGAAGAAGAATTCAACAATGTGGATGCTAAAGTTAAAAAAGAATTAAAAGAAGCTGCTGATCGAGCTTCTAAAGAACCATTTCTTGATGCACCCGCACTTGTTTACGATATTTACGCTATTAATTTGGAAGGAAAAATAAGAACTGTTCATTATGATAAACCACTTGAACATAAAGTAACAGGATTAGCTGTAAATCTAAAATAATTTTTGGCTATTTAAAGAATACACAATGTGTTATGTTTTGTATATGTGTATTTTGTGCTAGTATCCGCAGGTAAAACGGTCGGCGTTGCGTGTAGTAAAATATCGCAATTGCAATGTTTTCCGGTACCGTTCCGCGCGCTTCGATAATATTTATACGAATCCGCGCGATATTTACATATCTTTTATAACAGTGTTTAATGTTTTCGGTTTTTGCCGACTGCATTCAGCATCAGTCTCGCTTAGAAGCTCTCGCAGTTGGTCGCTGAAACGCATCCAAAGCCGTCGGAAGTGCCCATAAAATTATAGAACGAACAAAAAGGACGTTTTTGCGGACCGTTGTTTCGCTACACGGCTATAAACTTGAAATTCACGTGATATACGGATGCCTTATAAAACAACCTGTTTACCTTTAAAAAAAAGTTAAGGGAATTTTTTTTTAATAAATATTACGTTTTGATTATAATTGCCATCTTAATACAGGGTGATTTATTAGTTCACCATCAAACTTTGACATATGATAGCTAATCCAATTACCAAAAAAAAATTGGAATGAACATATGTCGTATTTCAATTATTTACGAAATTATAACACTTTAAAGGTTTCTGCAGCGAATTTATTAATAGTCAGTAAAATCCAAGGACAGTAGAATCTAACAGGACTGCTACATGCATTGTATTTTTGTAGCCCACTACGGGTTGGTTGCCCGCACTCTACGTCACACTATTTGCCACGCCCTGTTAACTGTCATTCAGTACTATGAGTTTGCTGTATGTTTTTAGAGATTTAGAGGTTACATGATAGACATTAATACGTCTACAAAAATAAAACTTCAAAAATAATATGAATATGTCTACGATATAACCTCTAAAACCACAGCAAACGCATAGAGCTGGGCGTGGCAAATGGTATGACGTAGTTTGCGGGCAGGTTGTCACAACAATGGATGTAGCAGTCCTGTTAGATTGTACTGTCCTTGAGTAAAATCAAACATTCAACAACAACAAAGTTGTCATTGTAATATGTCAGTTTGCTGTAAGGTTTAATTATTACATACAAGAAGAAACTCAAAATGTACGCTTATAGCACTGAAGAGTATGCTAATAAATTTTCGGGTATGGTTTTTGCAATGGAAATACTCGACAATCAGTACGAGAATATCAAGGAAGATTTTCATAGCGTCATTTTCCATATTATTCAGTTTTTAGTGATTCTTTCAGAAGACTTCGAGAAACTGGTAATCTTGCTCCAGCAAAAGCTATTCGACCGCATGTAGTTAATGTAGAGGACGAAGAAGCTGTAATTACTGCTGTCATTGATAATCCTTTCATTAGTACTCGAAGAATAGCACACAAGTGTTGCATTCAAAATTGATAACCTGGTAGACCTATGTAACTAAAACATAATTCCGCCATTTAGCGGAGATAAAACAATAATAAGAAGTTATGTTAATACATGTGAGTATTTGATAGAAAAATCCCTCATGCCTAATCCTAACATTGCCAGAACGGTCCTTCCGATTATTAATAATCTTTACGGATAAGTTAGATGGAAGAGCTAAAGAAGCTCTGGATGTCAATTGATTGGTATCCAGAATCGACTTGGGTCGAACTGAAAACTATATTGGTACAGGTGTTACAAATTCGTTATTCGTGTAGGCTATCTCCGAAACTAAAACAGATAGAAAAAAAGGCTTTATGTCATGATCTCGTTATTCTAGAAACTGCTAATGCCAAAAACACTGTTTTAACATAGTAAGATTAAAAAGAATGAACAAACTTTCCAAAAAAGAAAAATTGAGTTAGGTTAGATTTGTTTACAAATGTCATTCAACTCTGACAAAAATATTGGGTAATGTTAGGATAGGTTAGTTTTCTTTTGAATCCCTAATTAAAGCGTGAAGGAATGTTAAGACAGGTAGTTTTCTTTTGAATCCCTAATTAAAGCGTGAAGAAATGTTAAGACCAGTAGTTTTCTTTTGAAACCCTAATTATAGCGTGAAGAATCCTTAATTATAGCGTGAAGGAATGTTAGGATAGGTCAGTTATATTTTGAAACCCTAATTAAAGCGTGAAGAAATGTTAAGACCAGTAGTTTTCTTTTGAAACCCTAATTATAGCGTGAAGAATCTTTAATTATAGCGTGAAGGAATGTTAGGATAGGTCAGTTTTATTTTGAAATTATAGTATAATGCAATGTAAGATGACTATGCAATAAAAGACATTTTGCATACAAACCCCGCATGATATAGAAAAGGTTGAACAGCTTAAAATTGTTTGGTTGTAATTGAGGCGTTTGATCTCTCTACTTTTAATTGTTGCAATTCTTGCAATTTTATCTATATGTTCACTTTCGACTATTCAGCGTTCAATTCATAACGGTATCAATAGTATTAATGGCTTAGTCATATTTAAGAGATGCTTATCGATGTATTACATTAATCTACAGTATTGGTCTAAATTGATGGATGACATGAAATGACGTTGTGGGTATTGGTGCCAAATATTTTAGCCGGTTAGTTATTGATTCCACAAATTTGTATCTTATATTCTATAAATACGGTTAAAACTACATTTTTTTTCGAATATTCAAGGACGGAATCTTCAAGGCATATTCATTTCTTTATGTATACAGGGCTTCCCAAAACTCCCGGGACGGAGCAATAAGTTTTGAACGAGTGAAGAAAAAAATTTGAAAATTTGAGGATCACTAAAGAGGTATAAAAACTACATTCTTTGATAGTTTAGAACTTCCATGTAATGTGGAGTTTTTTTGACCACCCCTACATTTTTAAAGGAGTGTTTCACTCTTTTAATGATTCGTGGCTTTGGGGCCCATTTCTAAATGAACAGTCGAAAGAACCAACTCCAGAAAAAACCGAAGAAGTGTTACTGTCTTTTATTGAAGAACCTTCAAGTTCCTTATTAAAAGGGTCTCAGGTACAGCTCTGTTCAGATTTAATGCGAATTGTCCGTTGTTAGCTCCGACATGACGCTGGTACTGGAAGAAGACGGAGACATCTTTTGTTTCTATTCTATTCGATTTCTGAGACTTACCCTCTTCCTTAACCCAGGTAAAACCGTCCCAGTTTGAAGTGGGCCGAAGAATGGACCACCTTTTTTTTTAATTTAATTTTATTTTAAATCTTTTTTGATATTTTTAAGAACAACAAATGCACGATTTTTTATATGTTCCTCTAATAAATAATTTTAGAGTATTTCTATAAATAAAACGTCAGATAAAAATCTGAGTAATATAATTAATATAATATATAAATAAAGCTTATACAACATGCCTCGTGTTCCTGGTCAACGAGAGTCAGGTTTGACTACGAGGCGAGCAATTATTGCACTTCATCAAGAAGGAATAGATAAACGGGAAATTGCCGAACGTGTAGGCTTATCAGTAAGATTTGAAGAAAACGAGAAAGTTGGCCTTACAACATCTAAATCTGCGCCGCAACATTACAGTTGTGTGGGAATTGTTTCACGGCAAGGATGTATGCGACAGAGTAGTAAATTCGATGTCCACCAGATTGCATAGAGAATAATGGGTGTTATACAAAATACTGCTAATATTTGATGGTATAATGGACACCTTATAAAATTCTCCCCAATTAGATTATTATAATATTTATTATATTTTATATGTATATATATTATGTTTTTTTGTTATATAGGAGTATTACATTTTATTATATTGATTTTTGATTTTATTATATTAAAATGGTTATCGATATATTTCAATATATAGTTTATATATAACTTACTATCAATATATAATTTTCATTTCTTAGGAGGTTCGACTTATCGTAATTATTTTCATTTAACACAGGAACACAGGAACTACAGGAATTGTATCAAGTAAATGGATTGCTTATACTTATTCATTTTCTTAATTTTTCCTTGTGATTTAGTCATCTTGGCCATAAATCACATCACCCCACTTGCCTGTTCGGAACTTTTACAATCCTACAGAACAGGTAAAACCTGGATTGAATGCCTCGTGAACGTAGGTCGTTTCTAGTACAATTTTAAGCCTCTACGAGCGGCTCTTTTCGCATTATATCTGAACAGAACTGTACATGAAATTGGTAAAAGTGATTCTTTCTTTATCGGTCAGTTTTGCGCCATTTTTGGAGTGAATAAAAGTAAAGTTTTGAAAACAAGTTTGTTGAAAACAGTCGAAAGAAAACCTCATAATTCTTAAAAGAATTAAGATGTCGGGTTTTGGTTTATGGGGTTGTGTTTCTTTTTTCATTCCGTTCAAAATAAGGTAAAACTCGACAGGGGTTGCTATTTAAAAATGTAGGGGTGGTCATCCCCTAAAGAAACTCCACATTGCATGAAAGTTCTAAACTATCTAAGAATGCAGCTTTTATTACTTTTTAGAGATCCCCAAATTTTCAATTTTTTTTCATCACTCGTTCATAACTTATAGCTCCGTCCCGGGAGTTTTGGGAAACCTGTATAAAGAATATTAAGTATATGTGTTGTTGTGATCGATCCGAGATTTTATCCGTTTTTTCTGTTGGTTCCTTTTGGCAACAGAAAAAGTCTACCGACAGGAGACAACGACAACGTACTGAAGATGCCAGGTGAGATCTTGGCGAAACGTCTAAATTGGTTTCTTAATATTTAATAAATAATGATAAATCGATATATAAATATATATTTTCTTTAATATTTATATCTTTATCACAGTAATCACAATTTTTTTCCGATATTATTTCAAAGAGCTTTAATTTTTTTTGTCGCACCGAAGGTTTTCCCCCATTTTCCTTTTATACGTGACATATTCTAATCTGGGTGATTAATTGTTTTCTCAGAGGTTTTACGCCGCGGTGCCACTAAAGCTCTTCTACACGCTTTGACTAACCCGCGTCGCGTACGCGATCGCCCCCTTTTTTTACAGGTCCGGGTCCTTTGTGACGCGACAGAATTTCCAAGCGGCCGGACGTTTACGTGATATATACCCAGAGAATGCGCAAAAAACACTCGGGACTGTTTCACCCGAAGAGCGACAAAAAACCGAAATCGGTTAA